ATTTTTTTAATATTAAAAAGGTATAAGACATAAAGAACACTTTTGAGAGAGGCTTAATTGTGACTGATAGGAGTTCTAGAAGAAGAGAATGAAGGGAATAGCAGAGCAGAAACACACAAAGAGATAATTTTGAGAACCAAGTTATGAGATTGCACTCTGAGTACTAGTGAGATAAATAAATAGACCCAAATCAGTGCACAGTATAGTGGAACTATAATACAGAAGTATAAAGAAAATGTATTTAAAAGCATCTGAAAGAAAAGACCCATTACCCATAAAAGAAGAGCAAACCAACAACATATTCTTCGCACTTTCACAATAGGTGCTAAACAATAATAGATATTGAATAATATCTTCAAAGTGTAGAAGGAAAATAATTCAGTCTGGGATTTTATATCAACTAAACTATCTTGCAAGAGTTGAAGAAAAAAAAAAATTTAGACACACAAATATTAAGAGTTTACCACTCACAGAATATCACCAAGTTAACAAGTAAACCATGTATTTAATTTTTTTTTTCTTTTGCGGTACGCGGGCCTCTCACTGTTGTGGCCTCTCCCATTGCGGAGCACAGGCTCCGGACGCGCAGGCTCAGCGGCCATGGCTCACGGGCCCAGCCGCTCCGCAGCATGTGGGATCCTCCCAGACCAGGGCACGAACCTGTGTCCCCTGTATTGGCAGATGGACTCTCAACCACTGCGCCGCCAGGGAAGCCCTGTATTTAATTTTTATATAGTTAATCTATCTAGAGGAAAACATAGATATAAGAACATCAGTGTGCACAGAAATAGATAAAACATATCATAGAATTTGATTAAAAACTAACAAATAAAATAAACTTTGCCATTTCCATGAGAATATGTTTCATGATGATTTTGTTTATCTCTAGAATGTAAGACTTAGTGCCTGGAACCTATTTAGGTTCAATAAGTATTTATTAAATAAAGAATTTAGGACCTTGTGCTTGCAAAAAGGATGAAACTATTGAAAATCTCAATTTGGCTGAAAAAAAATTAGCTATGCATTTAAATAATTAAAAATTCTACTTAAAATAAAAATATAGGGCTTCCCTGGTGGCACAGTGGTTAAGAATCCGCCTGCCAATGCAGGGGACACGGGTTTGAGCCCTGGTCCAGGAAGATCCCACATGCCGCAGAGCAACTAAGCCCATCTGCCACAACTACTGAGCTTGCGCTCTAGAGCCCATGAGCCACAACTGCTGAAGCCCCTGCGCCTAGAGCCCGTGCTCCGCAACAAGAGAAGCCACCGCAACGAGAAGCCTGTGCACTGCAATGAAGAGTAGCCCCCACTCAAAACAACTAGAGAGCCCGTGCACAGCAACGAAGACCCAGCACAGCCAAAACTAAAAACAAATAAAAAAAAATATATATATATATATATAACTTATAGAGTCCTATAGAGAAGGCAGAAAATGAGGGAGGAAGGATGGAAAAAATGATAGTGAACAGAAACATTAAATTCAGATGGTAGAATTGAATAAAATATATCTATTATCACAATTAATGTAAATATTTTAAACTCAGCTGTTATGTGATAAAGATTATAAGATTGGAGGAAATGAACAACTCATAAGAGACAACTAAAGCAAGCATATAGAAAAGTTGCAAATAAAAGACATGAAAGATGTAACATCAATGTCACTGAAACAGAAATTACTAAGATAGCATTTAAGACTCACTAGTATTGATACAGCAGTATGTTGCTGTAGCAGCCATGCATTTCTCAAGATCGCATGCTTTGCGGCAAGTAGCTCACACCTGCCCTCTTTAGTGGCTCACCTTTGGACACAAGAGCAAATTAACAGAGAATCAGAAGTGCTTGGTGTTCTACACTGTACCCCAGGGAAGCCCACAGCTAGTGTCCCACAGTTACTGGACTACAAAACTCAGTTCTTTTGCCTCAAGTCAGGATATACTCTGAAGGATGAGTTCACCAAAGGATCAAGAAGTCTGAGATATCACCAAAATTGTATCCTTTCTGCACGCTTTTCCCTTCCTTTTCCTGTTTCTCCCACACTCTTACCTGTTTTTTTCTGGGAGTTCTTCCTTAGTAAATCACTTGCACTTGAACCTTTGGCTCATTATTTACATCTGTAAGAACCTATCCCAAGACAGGTATATAATATTAGTTTAAGAAATAATTAGGAATTTCACTTACGCCTATGATGTGGAAAGCTGAAAAGAGCATTGCTTCCACACTAATAACAAGAAAATGCTGGATAAACTACAAAATTATAACTTTTTTGAACCTATCAGAGAACTGAGATTCTCAGGGCAACCGATTAGCTTGGAATCCAAGGAAAGACAGGTGCCTCAACGCAGACAGGACACAAACACTGCAACATGCCTGGCAGAGCATGGGAAGAAGAGACACCAGTGCCATACAAGAGGTTAAAAGAATTTATCTATTTTTTTTAAAAGAACTCTCTAAGGTCCAAGTATGGGCTAGCATAAGAGTACAGGATCCCTGGGAGTCACAGACAGCAGGCATTCATACTACTTGCAAGCTGTTCGCCACAGACCTCTGCTGGAGCTCAAAGAAGGAATTCGGGCATATTTGGAAAAAACAGAAACCCTCTCATGGCTGTGCAGGCTTGGATTAGGAGAACATCCACCATTAGAAATAAGGAATAACCCCCCACTTTTAAAGCTTTCTTCTTCATGGAACAAAAGCCCTGAACTGCTGGGAAGTTGCAACACAAACCACCACTTGAGGGCACACTTGAAGATGAAGCTGGGAAAAGGTAAAAGTAAAAAATAACCTGTATCCCTGGAGTAGGAATAAGAGACTGTCCTGGGGCCAGACCATAATAGGTCTCCTATTACTGTGGGAGGGGCAGTAAACTCTCTCCCACCCAAGGTCTAATATAGGTCCACAGCAGAGTTTGCCTTCCCTAGGTAGTGAGGCAGTTTCGCTAAGAAAATTCCAACTGTGAGGCCAAGCTAGTCTAAGTTCGAAGCTGGACCAAAATAAAAGACAACCCCCGTGCCCCTTAAAGCCAGGATCACAAACACAAAGTAGTAAGTACTAGCAGGCTACCACTGGAAAGAACAAGGACATGGAAGACCTCCTGTCAGGTGAAAGAGCAACAGAGAAGGCTAAAGCTGAGGGTGGATAAGGAATATTAAGAAAAATACAACGCGGTTTTGACCCTAAGGTACTGCTAGAAGAATCTGAAGCTGGTGATACACTGATGCTAACAACTGCAACAGAAAAAATCCCAAATCAGCTGAACTCGTGACTAGACTGACCCGAGTCTCCATACTAACAGATTAACAGCCTAGTGGAGAAGACACACACATTTCTATGTAAAACTGCTATAGCTCAGTCTGTACCGTGCTGCCCTTGATGTCCAGAATTCAATAAAAAAATAATTACAAGACACACAAAAAATAAGGAGAGAAGACCCCACTGAGATACAACAATTAAATGAGTTTGACTCAGAAAAGACCCCAGTGTTGCTATTAGGCAATAAATTTAAAGCAACTATGATTAATAGTTTAAAAGTTCTAAGCATAGTTTCCTCACCATCAAAATGAAGATTTTAAAAGTGTCTAATTCACATGGGATTTGTGCAGATTAAATGAGATAATGGTATTCAATGGATATTTAACAAAAATCCCTGATGCAGAGTAAGGATTTAGTGAACGACAGTAGCTGTGGTCACTTTTTTTTGTTTTTTTTTTGCGGTACGCGGGCCTCTCACTGTAGTGGCCTCTCCCTTTGCGGAGCACAGGCTCCGGACGCGCAGGCTCAGCGGCCATGGCTCACGGGCCCAGCCGCTCCGCGGCATGTGGGATCCTCCCCGGACCAGGGCACAAACGTGCGTCCCCTGCATCGGCAGGCGGACTCTCAACCACTGCGCCACCAGGGAAGCCCCAGGCTATATTTATGGTGTAAACATCATTGGCCATTTACTTGTAACCAGCAGAGATAGTATATCTAACATATGGCACCTTCATAGTTGCTGTAGTTCTTTCAAAAGTGATTTATCCATATTAAAGGTAGTGACAAATGCAACATGAAAGTAAGGCTGTGAGGTAACTTTGCATCCCTCAGCTGCCCTGCATGTGGTATCTACTATCGGAATCTTGACAGCCAATTGTACTACCACTGAGGATTTATGCGCAGGTACTAATGTTTCCCTAGCTACTTTGCTCTGGTTTCCTCATTAAGTTAGGATTAATTTTTAAAAGAAAAAATATTTAAAGAAGGCTAATCACAGAATGTTGATATCATGTAATTCATTCTTTTCATTTTGAGAGGATAACTGACCTCTGCACATCAGTGGCAAAGCTAGAATTGCACACCTAGGTCATGTGACTTGAGTCCATTCTTGTGACCACTCTGCTATGCTGTCTCTCATCATTCTCTAGCTGGTCTAACTCTGCCATTAATTGGATGACCTTGAGAAAGCCACGTAACTTCTCTGACATACTTCCTCATATGGAAAGATGGGGATAATAATAGTGCCTATCTCACAGAGTCATTGTGAGAAGTATATGAGTTAATATTTGAAAAAACTTACAACAGTGATTGCCACATTGTAAGCACTGTAAAGGTATTGGCTAAAAGAAGTTCTGTTACTTTAAATACCACCCTGGGGCTATCTTATTAACACCACTTAACATCTTGATAGGAACCTTAAAAAGTGGTAATGCAAATTATAATTAAATAAAAGAATAACTGTTAGGCTGTAGCTGGAATAAATTAGAACATTTACATGAGATCTCCTTGCAGTTGTGTGATCATTTGCCTGCCAGTGCCAAGTGAGCACACAGCTACTCAAATCCCTTGTGGAAGAAAACACACTCATAACTCAATGACATGAATTACGATAGCTAGCATTTACTAGGCTCTTACTAGACACATATTAATGTATTAATTTGAACTGCCAGAATAACCCTATGGAATACATACTACTATTATCCCCATTTTACAGGTCAGGGAACTGAGGAACAGAGAAATAACTTATGTACTGTGAACACACAGCTAATAACTGGTAGAGCTGAGACAGGAGAATCAGTCACGTCCCGAGCACTTCCCAATTCAGCCAGTCCTCCACACTTCCCTTACCGAGAGCTAGGATCTTACTGAATAATAAAAATAAAGAGTATATATGAAAAAAAAATATATATATATATAGTTTCTAAAATGTAGTTTTCTCACTGTCTGGTGGTAACAAACTATGAATGGACAGTTCTACTGGAAGTGATCATGTTCTGAAAGTAACTGAACTTTAGTTCTTCCTTGACTTTAGTGAAAAGACTGAGATTGCTAGTGACATTGATGTTTCCCCTGGGTATAAGAGAGCTGAGGATGAACACAGAAAGATAAAGAAGTGGGTGTGTAATCTGCAAAAAGTAAAACATCTTATGAAAGTATTAGTCAGTCTTACTGAGACAGGCTGGGATTTTCACTATGATCACTGGTCCCCCATGCATTTTAACATGTAGCAAAGAGTTCACACTCTCCTTGCCACCCAACCACTTCTAAATCCTTCTGCTTCCAGAGTAAGAACTTCATGTTCTGAGAGTAAAGAAGAAACTCCTGAGAGCTCCTAGATCTGGAATCTAGAACATAATTTTCTAGATCAATGACTTGCACATGATTGCAAGCCACAGGGACGCTGAGTGTGTTTGTAGAACTGAGTTGAATGGACTTCTCCAACAATCCAGGGAGAGTTTGTGGCCCACATGTTCTTTAAAGTTGGGCAGAATTGATCATGGAGACATAACTCCATTCTATTTTCAGGAGTCAGATATAAAGGATGTGGAGAGAATTTTGTTGTTTTCCCTGATACAGCTTCCGTTACACTGGTAACAACAACAACAAAAATGCGGCCTTGGCAAGAACTTCAGGGAGAAATGGTGAGATGGAAAGATGCCAGGATAGGCAGACTTCAATACACTGCTGGTGAGCAAACCTTGGGATGCCATCTCCATAGTGAGAATAGAAGCATGCTTGAGTTGGAGATTCATCTGCTTACCCCAGATGATTAAAGAGTAATTTCTCTAGTTGGTGAGGGAAATGAGGTAAGAAGGCAGGGGATGCAAGTAGAAAACAGACCCTTAAGCTACCAGGACACTGCCCGCCAGCCTTTGCATGGACAAATGAAAAGCAGAGGCCTGGACATTGTCTTTTTCAGCACACTGACTCAACGAGTAACTCTTTCCAGCTCATAATATGCTAGGCATACATTGCTCAACTAGAAAGATAGTTTCCTGACCCCAGGAGCTGATAGAGTAGAAGGGAATAATTGCACAATTGATTATAATTGTGATGAGTGTACAAAGAAGTATAGATCATTTTAGGAGCCCATCATGGGAAACCAAACCTTGCTTAGTCAAACAAAACAGAAAGAGGCATTTAAGCTGAGGCTTCAGGGATGGGTAGACTTCAGCCTTGCCATGTGGGGATGACAGGGACAAGCTGAGAGAACATCGGCTAGAGAAAAAAGAGACACAGCCTTGCTGGCTCCCGCATAAGGCTGAATTTATGCTTTAACATGTTCATCTATCTTCTCCCATTCAGAACCAGGTAAGGATTGAGGAAAGCAGAAGGATGTGATTAGCTAATACGCTTCCTTTGCTTTTTATGCACTGCCAAAACACGGAACTCTTTGTATTTGATACCTTATTTAATCCAAGCAGCAGCCCTATAATGAAAAGGCTATCTTTCCATTTTCCACACGAGGAAACAAAAGAGCAAACAGTATATACTGCATAAAAATGATAAAGCCAGGAATTCAAACACAGGTCTCCCTGCCACACACCCTAAAATGAACTTTCCACAACACCTTTCCACATACATTAGAGGGAAACAGAAACAAAAAAGTAGTACTCAGTAAAAGCAGAAGAAATTATCCTGTGGAAGAGGAATGAGGAGAGGAATGCTCCTTTCTGCCTAGTTACAACCTGTCTGCATCCTCAAAAGAACACTGCCAAAGTGTCTATCTGCTGTGAATGAACAATTCGTAGGGGTTCTTAGATATCAATACCAGGAGGAACCACTGGGAAGCCCATTACAGATGACCAAGATTTGTTCAGAGTCTAACTCTTCTGTTCCCTGGTAAGGTATCTGTCAATTCAAAACCCAATGGACTTCATTTTCAGCTGAAAGGACATTTTTCCAAGGTGAAATTAAAGGTGATCCTAACTTTTTCTTCAGTCATGTTTTATCATTGCCTCAACAGCCATTTTGTATAAGACAATTTTCTTCTCTTCAGGCCCAAAGTTGTTTTTATATTTGCAAAAAATAAAAGAATATTGTAGGGGAAAAATTTTCACAAAGATCAAAGTAATTCAAGTACAGTACAAGAATATACCACTAAATTTCAGTGAAAAGAAAGCTTCAACATTCACTCAAAAATATCATCAGATAGTCACACTGTCAGAAGACTTAACTTCTGTAATATCACTCAGGAACACAGGACTGATCATTCTCAGAATGCACTTTTCAAAGAAAAGAAGCCACAAATCCATTCACTTGTTAAGTGTTGTCAACTCTGTGTTTTAAAACCCATTCCAATCACACAAGAATAAGGCACTTTCTGCATCTTTTTTTTTTTTTTTTTTTTTTTGCGGTATGCGGGCCTCTCACTGTGGCCTCTCCTGTTGTGGAGCACAGGCTCCAGATGCGCAGGCTCAGTGGCCATGGCTCACAGGCCCAGCCGCTCCGTGGCATGTGGGATCTTCCCGGACCGGGGCACAAACCCATGTCCCCTGCATTGGCAGGTGGACTCTCAACTACTGCGCCACCAGGGAAGCCCCACTTTCTGCGTCTTTTAGTGAGTCAAAAGAAAGACAAAAATCAGTACACATTTTTCAGATCAAAAATGTATGTCTTCAATTCTGAAAGAAGACAGAAATAAATTTTTTTAATAGCAATAGTGGCATTAATCTTTTAACACCGCTTTTTCATTTTTTCAGTGATCATTTTTTTCTTATGTAGCATATAAAATGTTTAGAGTCTATTTCCCCTTTTATTAAGACTTCATAATAAGTTGCCAGGACCTGAGTTCCAAACTCTTCAGAAATTACTGATAGGTTAATTGGTTTTCTAAAATTCTCTTAAAAATATAAATTTCACTTAATTGCCATATATGGCCTTTCCATTAAATATTAATGACTCTTCAGCAAGTAGTGTCTATAAATAAAACCAGATTTCAAAAGCCCTCTATAATAGGAGAATGAAAGTTTGGTAGATTTTACTTACCTGCCACAAGTAAAAAAATTAATACATAGTTGAGGAAATGTTATTTTGCTTGGCGAGTGTAGATAAACAAGGCATAAGTGCACGTGTGCAGTCAGTGCTAAGAAATAGTGCAAAGAAGAGGAGAAACAAGGTCAGACAATTCTGTCTCTAGTTCAGAAACTGGGAAAAGACCAATACTTGTAGCTAGATTGGAAGACTTTTCTAAGACTTTTATTGAGGGAGAGAAGAGGACAGGAGCTAAAGTAACTAATCCCCTCACTTGACTGAGGCAGAAATGGAAGGAATGGAGGACCACGTTTACACAACTAAGCAGATCAACATAAAACGTCTAGTACAAGAGACCTTCAAGATGGCAGAGGAGTAAGATGTGGAGATCACCTTCCTCCCCACAAATACATCAGAAATACATCTACAGGTGGAACAACTCCTACAGAACACCTACTGAATGCTGGCAGAAGACCTCAGACCTCCCAAAAGGCAAGAAACTCCCCATGTACCTGGGTAGGGGACAAGAAAAAACAGAGACAAAAGAATAGGGACATTACCTGCACCTCTGGGAGGGAGCTGTGAAGGAGGAAAGGTTTCCACACACTAGGAAGCCCCTTCACTGGTGGAGACTGCGGGTGGTGGAGGGGGAAGCTTCGGAGCCATGGAGGAGAGCGCAGCCACAGGGGTGCCGAGGGCAAAGTGGAGAGATTCCGCACAGAGGATCGGTGCCGACCAACACTCACCAGCCCGAGAGGCCTGTCTGCTCACCCGCCGGGGCGGGCGGGGCTGCGAGCTGAGGCTCAGGCTTTGGAGGTCAGACCCCAGGGAGAGGACTGGGGTTGGCTGTGTGAACACAGGCTGAAGGGGGCTAGTGCACCACAGATAGCCGGGAGAGAGTCCGGGAAAAAGTCTTGACCTGCCTAAGAGGCAACAGACCATTGTTTCAAGGCGTGCGAGGAGAGGGGATTCAGAGCACTGCCTAAACGAGCGCCAGAGATGGGCGCAAGCCGCAGCTATCAGTGCATACCCCAAAGATGGGCATGAGACGTTAAGGCTGCTGCTGCCGCCACAAAGAAGCCTGTGTGTGAGCACAGGTCACTATCCATACCCCCCTTCCGGGAAGCCTGTGCAGCCCGCCACTGCCAGGGTCCCGTGATCCAGGAACAACTTCCCCAGAAGAACACATGGCGCACCTCAAGCTGTTGCAACATCACATTGGCCTCTGTGGCCGCAGGCTCACCCCGCATCCCATACCACTCCCTTCCCCGGCCTGAGTGAGCCAGAGCTCCCTAAAGCTGCTACTTTAACCCCGTCCTATTGGGATGGGGAACAGACTCCCTCACAAGTGACCTACACAAAGGTGTAGGTGACCTACACAAAGTGACAGGGTGACCTACACAAAGAGGCAGGGCCAAATCCAAAGCTGAACTCCATGAGCTGTGTGAACAGAGAAGAGAAAGGGAAATTACTCCCAGGAGCCTCAGGAGCAGCGGATTAAATCTCCACAACCAACTTGATGTACCTGCACCTGTGGAATACCTGAATAGACAACGAATCATCCCAAATTGAGGCCGTGAACTTTGGGAGCAACTGTAGACTTGGGGTTTGCTTTCTGTGTCTAATTTGTTTCTGGTTTTATGTTTATCTTAGTTTAGTGTTTAGAGCTTATTATCATTGGTAGATTTGTTTATTGATTTGGTTGCTCTCTTCCTTTTTACATTTTTCATATATATATATTTCCATTTTCTGTGAGCGTGTATGTGTATGCTTCTTTGCGTGATTTTGTCTGTATAGATTTGATTTTATCATTTGTCCTAGGGTCCTGTCTGTCCACGTTTTCTTTTTTTTTTAGTATCATTTTTAGTACTTGTTCTCATGG